ATCCCAGAGATTAATATTGCCTCAGCATTTACTTGTTCCAAACATGGTAAAAATCCACAAAATAAGTAATTTTGAAAAATGACATCCATAGTAGAAAAAGAAAATACTAAAAAGTCAATGGCTAGTGCCATCCGGATTCCAACATTCTTCAAATTATATTCTTTTGTGTCCAACAGAAGAATGAAACTTGAACATGTTTGAAGTAAGTGGATGGCGAGTAAGTCATGAAATACTTAATTTTTTTGGTGAACTATTCTTTCAAGGAATAAAAGAAAGAATAAAAAAATAATTTAAAATTATTAAGATATAAACCTTACATTAAAAAAGTATACAATTGTATACAAAAAATTTAAAGTAATTTTAAAATAATAAATATGAGTAATATTATTATTTATATTATAGCAATAAATATTATATAAACACTAAAATAGCCCGGATTAATAATAACATTTACATATTTAAAAAAAACATTTAAACTTTAATATATTTGTTTAAACTTTTATATACATTGAAATATTAAATTACAAATATAAAAAAACTATTTAAAAATATTAATACAACACAAAATTTACAAATAAAGCTAAAATAACTCTGACTATTACAGCGTTTTACTAGCAATATTTTATTATAAATTTAATTTTGTTTATTTAATTCATTTTAATATACGAAACAATATGAAAAAATAATATTTTATAATATAATGTAAATCTGAATAAATATTAGGTATAACGTCCCAAGAATCGACATAACATTAACACATGCATAACATCATACATGCACACAACATTATGATATGTATATCAAATATACACACATTATATTATTTGTGTATTTAATTTAATTATAATAATTATCAACACACACACACACACACACACACAAACACTTACCTTATCGCTGAGAGTGAGCTGCACACTTTCACACCACAGCAAGAAGTTGTTCAGGGGCTCCAGCACACTCTTTTCATCACCTGTCTAAAGGCACACATTATAATAAACATAGAAACTCTAAAACATCTGTGTCCCAATATCAAGTATATATTAATAACTTGTGAACTGTCACTATACTGACAACTTAAGAAAAAATCTAACTTACCTTTGGTCTTTTTGCTTCCGTCGCCATTTCTTTAAAACGCAAACCCGTCGGTGAGTGATAAAAGTCTATATTGTTATAGTGACGACTGCACGGAAAAACAACATAAAAATATAATAATATATTTTCCTATAATGCCTCCATGTGATAAGCAGCGCTGGTCACTTCTTCTTCTTCCAGTGTGTGTAAAAACAAACACAGTACTGTGCACGAGCGCCCTCTACTATGCTTGCATGAGATAACCGCAGAAAAACTAATCAAAATGAATAGATACAATCCGCGATGTTTTACTTAATATTAAGGTTTTAGACTTTAAAATCAACGTACAAATCGAGCTATCGGTACATTTTCGACAAGAAAGTCAATCTATCAGTCCTTAGTGTTTGTAGCACGTTCCACATGTTTTTTTTTTTTGTTTTTTTTTACCATAGCCTACTTCAGTACTTAAATTAATCTGTTGTTGGGATTATATAGATGCTGTAGTAACACAACTATAGTTATAAACAAATAGCCTAATACGGTAGTTTTCTATTGGGTATATTATACTACAATACACCACAGTTCTGTTGTAAAAACTAAAATGTATTACTGTATTTATTATAGTTTATCATATGCCTCATACTAGAGCACACTGGAGTTTTCATTAGCTGGAAATCATAACATGCTTTATAAATCATTTTCAACTGTACTTTTGTTGCTATATAACCTTGAGCAAACAACATTGTTAGCAATTTCTAATTGCACAGTATTTAACTTTAATATTAATTGTATTTTACTGTATTTTGACAGGTATGCAGTGACTGTATTTTAAAAATGCATTGTGGGAAATATGTTTTTGGTGCCGTTAAAACAGTATTTTTTTAATTTGCTGCTAATCGGATGACCGTAAAAAGCAAATAAATAAATGAGTGTGAAACCTGGCCAATCATAGGAAGTACAGTAATTTACCATTTTAACTGTTTTACAGTAAATAGCTAAATAAAAAAATTACTTAAAAGTAATTTTTTTATTGTATAGAAAGTTTTACAGATGAGAAAACTAAAAATAGTGTATATTTACTGTAAAAATATACAATACTGAAAATACACGAATTAGCAACCTGCGTCTCACGGGTTCAGCCGCGCATACCAATTGCAAATAAGACCAGTTGCAATAGCAAACATGTCGTGTTTTGCTGTAAAATGCCAAATTTGAAAGTCCAAAAATAGAAAACTTAAATTTACTATGTAATGTAAATTTACAATTGTACTAAATTTTACTGTACACCTCACTGCTTTAATGCCAACTGCAGAAATCTTTGGCTGACAATCATGTGAATGGAGTGAGGGCCTAACTAAAAATGCTGGACTGTGCAGTTCTCATTTCATATCAGGTAAGTTCACACTATGCTGAATCATACAGCATAGCATTCATAACATTTAGCAAAAACAGTTAAATATGGTTTTTAAACTCAGGACACTGAATTCTAAGAATGAAAAGTAAAAATGTAAGTTCACACACCCTGCCGTACAGCTGCAGTTCGATGTCAGAATGCAGTTTTGCTTGTTGATGATTACCCAGGCCTTGGACAGCTCCCTCTTCCTTTCTTGTCTTTGGCTAGGCAGAATCTCAGTTTTTAGCACTAGTACATAGTTTTGAATGTGGCAATCATGGAACATTATTTCTTGCACATGATCACGCAGAACAACATTGTAGGCATACAAAGACTTGTTGGCCTTTAACTTCTCTTGTAACATCACTTGGACTTTCAATGAGTTTTGTATTTGGGGCTGGATGCTTGGCCATTTCATCTTCTCCAATATCCATTGGGAGGATGCTTTCGCAAATGGATCTGTCAGATGAACGCCGCTCACTTTAACATTAATTTCGCAGAATCACTGTGCTTATCACTAAGTGACAAGCTGTTATAATACGCTGAAAGCATTATGTAAATAACATATATAATATAATATAATCAATTTAACTCATCTCTAATACAACATCAAACTCTGTACCGCATCAGATGTCATTCTCTCGCTGTAAATGCTAGCGCTCCCGTTTTTTTTCTGCAACCTCGCTGCGCACATCCTAAATGTTTACAATCTGGTAATTCATCTATAGCAACATATGTAGTACCGTAAATGTCATTACAGTATTTTGCTGTAAGTTTGAGTAAATACAATTTAAAGAATATTTCTGAAAAAATAGGCCTGTTAAAGTGAGAAGCATAAAAATGACAAATTATATTTTCTTATTTTTTGGAGCAAAAGAAAAACATTAAAAAGCATATTTAAATCAACTTGAGCAAACATCAGAAGCAAAATGCAGAAACACAACAGGGTTGATCTCCTTCCTCTGCAAGACAAGTATGAAGAGATTTATGACATTCCATTACTCGCGTCTCTTTAAAAGATTTGCAGAAGCAACACAAATCGTGTGTGACATAAATCTACAACGACAAAACAATAATGCATGTAAACACAGACAAAGTTATCTTTTCAAACAGAATTCCTGCAGCTGGTCCTGTTTATTCTGGACGTCTGCTGGATTCAACACGAGGAAGTTTCCACTTGTCCTTGTCGAACAGCACTAAAAAAAGTTGTACCCACACACAAAGTTTTAGTGAGATCATTTCAAAAACAACAAAAAGAGCATAATATTGTTTGGGCAATATCTCATCAACTTAAAATTACACTGCATTACACAAAAGTCTAAATATATGTTTGACCATACTAAACTAAAAAAATAATTAGGTATTGTAAGTATACCTGGCTTGTAGTTGTTTCTTTTTATACCATTCTGTCTATTAGTTTAGATTATTAGTCGTCTGTTAAAGGGATAGATCACCCAGAAATGGAAATTCTGTCATTATTTACTTCCCCTTGTTTCAAACTTTTATGAGTTTGTTTATTCTCTTGAACACAAAAGTATATATTTTGAAAAAAAGCTAGAAACCTGTAACTATTGACTTTCATAGTAGGAAAAACAAATATGGATGGTTGCAGGTTTCCATCTTTCTTCAAAGTAGCTGATAAAGAAACTCATGTGGTTTGGAACCACTTAGAAGCCAGTGTTAAGTGAGTTCATTTTCATTTTTAGGTGAACTTTTAAAAACTAATCCTAAGAACTGTTTGGGTGAAGTAAATAAACACATGCTAAATTTTAATTGATAGTGTACAGGTGTATTAAGGATCATATTTTATAATCCTAACTTAGGACTTAGATCAGGGAGGGGTGTCCAAACTCGGTCCTTGAGGGCCAGTGTCCTGGAGAGTTTAGCTCCAACCCTAATCAAACACACCTGAACCAGTTAATCAAGCTCTTACTAGATACTTCCTGGCACGTGTGTTGAAGCAAATTGGAGCTAAACTCAGCAGGACACCAGCCCTCCAGGGCCGAGTTTGGACACCCCTGATTTAGACAATATGTGATACCTTAAAGAAACAGTCCACTCAGACTTAAAAAAAGAAAAAGACTCATTTTACCAGTTCCTCAGAATTAAAGAGTTTTACCTTTTTTAATTCCTTAAGTTGATCTCAGAGTATGGCAGGAGCACTTTTAGCTTAGCTTAGCATAAATCACTAAATCAGATTAGACCATTAGCATCTCACTACTTAAAAATAATAATAATAATAATAATAATATATATATATATATATATATATATATATATATATATATATATATATATATATATATATATATATATATATATATATATTTGAGAGGGTATATTTAAAATATTAATTTGAATACCTATGAAAACAGTGTACTTGTGTAATTTAGTGGTTTCTGGGACTCACCAACTTTCATAGTAGAAAAAGGTACTATGGAAGTCAGATACAGGACTTTTCAAAAAATCTTTTGTGTTCAACAGGACAAAAAGATTTAAAAAGTTTCATTAAAAGAAAAGAGCAAATGACGACAGATTTTTTTGTGCCTTTATTGCTTTAATATAAATGCGCATTTCAAACTGAACATCTGAGATGTGCAAAAAGATTTATTTCACAAAACTGTGATGTTATTTAGAAATGACTCAAAGAAATGTCTCAGATTGATTAAACTTTTATGGTGTTGGTGGAAAAAAGACAAAAATCACAAAACTATATTTGAATGCCACATCCATTGTCTTGAAGTTCACGGTAAATCCATTAAGAAAGATTACAATTATTAAAAAACAAAAAAAGTTTCTCTATAGAAAAAAGTCAACAGACTTTATATACAGCAGCACTGTCAGCATCACGATTCACTGTTTAACTGTTTCTCTCCGCCTGATGTGCATTCTGTAGGGTTTGGGTGTCAAAGTGAGCCCAAATACAGGGGTGTAATCTGGTTTCCCAGCATCTACAGGCCACTCAAACTGAAAACGCCTCAACAGAGCGACAAAAATCAAGAAGAGCTCCATACGGGCCAGACCTTCACCCAGACACATACGGAGACCTGGAAAAAAAACAAAGTTGCATAAACTAAAGGTGTTCAAGTACTTAAAGGCCTCATATCAAGAATTATTTTTAGCCATATCTGGTCATTTCCAAAAGAAATACACCAGACCCTGATTTTGTGAAGTTTCGTTTAGGAATTATAAGTATTTTTTGATATATTTGGCCACAACAAATTGGCAAATGATCATTCTCAAAGCTGTCCAATTGGAAAAGGTTAACTTTTCAGATAATTGTTGACCTACTAGAAAGCCGATAGCAATGCAGTGGTGTTATCAAGTTTGAGTGACAAAATTAAGATTTAAAAAAAAAAGGAGGTTTCAGAAATCATCTCTGATACTTCACTGGGCGATTTGACTGATGTCTGTGATCCTAAGTTCGATATGGTATGAACAAATATTCATGTGAGGTACAAACTTTTAGAACATTTATAAAAATTGGTGGCAATATACACTCACCACCTACTTTATTAGGTACATCTTACTAGTACTGGATTAGACTCCCTTTTGTCTTCAGACCTGCCTTAAACCTTTGTGGCATAGATTCAACAAGATACTGGAAATATTCCTCTGAGATTATGCTCCATATTGACATGATGGCGTCACGCAGTTGCTGCAGATTAATCAGCTGCACATCCATAATGCAAATCTCCTGTTCCACCACATCCCAAAGGTGCTCTATTGGATTCATCTCTGGTGACTGTGAAGGCCGTTTGAGTACAGTGAACTCATTGTCATGTTCAAGAAACCAGTCTGAGATGACTCATGCTTTATGACATGGCGCATTATCCTGCTGGAAGTAGCCATCAAAAAATGGGTACACTGTTTATAAAGGAATGGACATGGTCAGCAACAATACACAGGTAGGCTGTGGCATTAACACATTGCTAAATTGGTAGTAATGGACCCAAAGCGTGCCAAGAAAATATCCCTACACCATTACACCACCCCCACCAGCCTGAACCATTGATACAAGGCAAGATGGATCCATGCTTTTATGTTGTTGACGCCAAATTCTGACCCTACCATTCAAATGTCGCAGCAGAAACCGTGACTCATCAGACCAGGCAACGTTTTTCCAATCTTATATTGTCCAATTTTGGTCAGCCTGTGTGAATTGTTGCCTCAGTTTCCTGTTCTTAACTGACAGGAGAGGCACCCAGTGTGGTCTTCTGCTTTTGTAGCCCATCTGCCTCAATGTTGGACGTGTTGTGCGTTCAGAGATGCTCTTCTGCATATCTCGGTTGTAACAAGTGGTTATTTGAGTTGCTGTTGCCTTTCTATCAGCTCAACCCAGTCTGGCCATTCTCCTCTGACCTCTGCCATCAACAAGGCATTTGCGCCCACAGAACTGCTGCTCACTGGATATTTTCTCTTTTTAGGACCATTCTTTGTGAACCCTAGAGATGGTTGTGCATGACAATCCCAGTAGATCTGCAGTTTCTGAAATATTCAGACCAGCTCGACTGGCACCAACAACCATGCCATGTTCAAAGTTACTTAAGTCACCTTTCTTCACCATTCTGATGGTCAGTTTGAACTGCAGCAGATCGTCTTTACCATGTCTACATGCCTAAATGCATTGAGTTTCTGCCATATGATTGGTTGATTAAACTAGGACAGGTGTACCTAATAAAGAGTGTATAAAAATGATAGCAACTACAACAGTTTCATGCTGTGCTTGAATACTTAAAACTGTTACCTGTGGAGAAGGGTATGAAAGCCTCAGGCTTCTCAAACTGGCCCTGCTCATTCAGGAAGTTTGCTGGGTTGAACTCATAAGGAAACTTCCACTGACCTTCTTCTTTTAGCACCCTGGTAAGGTTGGGAATGATTATAGTTCCCTGACAAACAAGAAACAATTGATTACAGTTTATTTTGAAGTATAATAGTCTTTAAGTCGCTCCAAATGTTTCCTCACCTTTGGGATGCTGTAGCCCATTAGCTCTGTGTCTCGTGTGGTGGAGTGAAACACACTTAGCGGTACAGTGTTAGCGACACGCTGAACCTCATGAATCACAGCCAGTGTGTACGGCATATTGTGTCTGTCTTCATACATCACCTGATCTTTACCCTCCAGAACATCATCAATCTCTTGCTGGCATTTTACTGGTTAGAAAACAAGGCTGTGTTTGAATGTTCAAGTTTCTTTTGACATGCTAGCTTTGCTAAAATGCTAACATCCTTCTGAAAGTTTTGAAAACTTAACATATGCAAAACAGTAATGAAAAAACATCACACATTTAGCTTCTTCGGTGCAAAGTACACATAAAAACTGTATTTATTTATTCATTCTTACTTTGTCTGGTTAAATTCAATTCTGATTTAAATTGACAAAATGAATGTGTGCTTTTTAATCACAAACCTTGCACCTCAGGGTGGTTCATGAGGTAGAGGAAAGCAGTGAGGAGGGTGTTAGAAATAGTGTCAGTCCCTGCAAAGTGCAGATCCATGATGCTCATGAGGAGCTTGTCTTCGGAAAAGGTGGAAACACAATTTTTTCCCTGTAGAATGTAGAATACATTTCGGTCTGAAGTGGTGGTATAAGCATTTATCAATTTCGGCATTAATAAATGTACAATTCAGATGTGCAAATGTACAGATGTGTTTGTCAGCAGAAAGTGGCACCTTATCAAGCTCATCCAGATAGCAGTCAATAAAGTCTCTCGGCTCTCCTGGGACTCTTGTGCTCTTATGTTCATCAATCAGCTTCAGATTCATACTTTTTATTACTTTTACATGATCAAATGCTTTTTTAAAAGGCAGGGGCAGGATTCTCAATAAAGGAAATGTGTCGTATATCTGGTAGAAAAGAACATACAAGAAAAAAGTTATTTTTTAAGGCAAACTAATATCTTACATTTTTACTTGTCATGTTTATTAAAATAGAATAAATAGTATTTATTTTGAATAAAATTTAGGTTTCTATTAAATCCAAAGGTTAAAGCTGAAATGGCATTTTGGCACATAGGCCCTATCATACACCTAGTGCAATAAGGCGCAAGATGTGTTTGGCGCAATTTGTTGCTATATTCAGAACAGGGCAACAGTAATTTTCACCTTTTGCACCATGTTGTTTAAATAGCAAATCCATTTGCGCCAGTTTGTGGACTCATGGGAGTGCTGGTCTATAAAGGAGGTGCTGCTAAGGCACTTTCTTGGCCTGTTGTTAGTTATGCGCCTGTCCTAACAATTACACATTGCTTAATACACACAGAATGTACAGCAGGGGTCAAACTTATTTTAGCTCAGGGGCTACATGGAGGAAAATCTATTCCCAAGTGGGCCGGGCCGGACCGGTAAAATCACGGTATACATAACTTAAAAACAACAATTTCAGATTGTTTTCTTTGTTTTGATACAATCAATATAAAACATATGTAAATATCTTTTCATGTGAAAAAAAAGGATTAAAATGTTACATAAATTATTATTTTCTACATAAATATAAATACCACTACCTCCATGCTTATTGAGGGACTTTTTTCAGTTTATTCATGACAATCTGCATTTTTATAATGTTATTATAATTATCAGTATTATTTATTATATACATATTCATATTTGTTTTAATAAAAACAAGTTTAGATTCGTCCCTCTGACGGGTTTTAGAGACGTATGCATCACCATAGGGGGCATAAGAACAGGATGTGTGTTTGGATATAAATCAGTTTTTTGACCACGTTTTATTATTAATAATTTTTTTCGTTTGCTGGAAATTAGAACTGAATTTAGAAACAGTTTTGAGACCTATCTTTGCGCTTAAAATTAAATATGTAGGCTAATGAATGTCTTCAGTGGAGAGCATACAATACCGTTTCCTTATCCACCAAACTAAAGGAGTAAAGAGAAAGTAAAAAGGCTGAATGGAGGAGACTCATTTTTTATCCTTGTGCTGCATATGGTCTTTTTAACTGTTTTTTCGCTAGTGAAGCATTCAGTCTATTCACTTAAAAAGTCAACCATGTAAATAGCAAATGCACCATGTCACTAACTGAATAGGAGATGCGACTCTGCTTGGTTTAATGCACATTATATTCAAAGCACACACGTAACTCATTAAGAGAATAAGCACAACCCTGTTAGACCATGCACCGGGGTGCAAAGCTTATTTTTCCAAACTTAAAATAGCAAAAGTGGATTCAGACACACCCTTAATGCTTTTACGCCATGGCTTTTAGACTTTGTGTCTAGATCGTTAAAATAGAGCCCTATATCTCACTGCAGCTGATTGGTGGAATGTTTCTAACTCATTATAGGTAATGTAGTTTTTTCAGTATAGATACCACTACTGAACATGGCTGTTTTAAAAAATGAATATGAACACCTCAGAGCTCACTACAACTCGTCTTTGGGTAAAAAAAAGAAAACTACAGTGTCAAATGATTTCATAAGCTCTTTTGATCTGAGACCTTACCATGTTCCAGGGTCCATTGATGATCTTTGAAATCTCATTAATGAGCTGGATGTAGCACTGAAGAAATTCACTGTTGTAATCAAAACGGCATCCAAACAGAAGCAGACTGATAACATTTGAAGCAACATTGTGGAACATAATGTGAGGATCCACTCTTTTTCCTGTAAAAAAAAAAAAAAAAAAAAAAAAAAAAAGGTAAATTCTAAAAAAACTGAAATCTAAAAGAAAATGTTCTACACCTTGTGCAAGAAATTGAAATCACAAATGAATACCTGCGTTTTTGTCAAGGTAATCAACAACATGTGAAATTTCCCCCAGAATTCTCTCCTCCATGGACTGTTTGCCAAGACCAAAATTTCTCATGGTCATGAGAGCAAAGCGTCGATGGCCCTTCAAAACGGGTCCATAGTCAGCCAACACAATACCTTAAAAAATGATGAAGTCATTAATGATAATTGTCCGTAAATTCATTTTCTAACAGCTTCTAATCTGCTTTTTACTCATTTAATAGTCAATGTATAACGTACAAACTGAATTAGCTATGCTGCAGATTTGCATTAGCGCTGATAGTCTGGGAGATCTAACTCTTTTGTTATTCTGCTTGTCGATGTTTCCAGATAAATAATTGATGACTCTTTAAAATAAAGGTTACATCATAAAAACTGGCTTGAAAAAGAGGGTTCAATTGTGTTTTCTTCCTTCTAAACATTGGAAGATGACCTATTCTTTCATTTCTGTGCTTTTCTATTGGTTACACTCGGATGAAATCACAGGATGGTCATGCCCACTCTTTTCCTCTACTGGTTTATTTTATTTAAATTAATTAAACTATTGCGTTTTTCGTATTTATTTCTTTTGAAATGCAATTTGTGGGGAATTATGTTTTAACTTAAATGTTTTATGTTTAATCCACATACATTTGTAAAAACTAAAAGGTTAACTTTATTCCTTTATGTTGGCTCAACACAAATCGATTGTGTGCAACCCAGTATTTTTTACAGTGTTAAATCAAGGTAATTAGCTTTAGGTTGATGCAGCTGTTTTAGTGAAAACAAGTAAAGTGGAATCACAGCTCACACAATCAAAGTGGAATAAATATATTGGGTAACCTTTGATACAATTATCACTAATCAGCTACGGGTTTACTTTTGTAGAACCTGATTTCCTCCATCTTGACTTCACTGTCTTGAGTCATTCATTAAACGATTCTAAACTCATTCAGAAAGCACATTTAATATTAACCTTGCTTGAACTTTTTTCATTAGCAGCTGAAATGTCAAAAAAGCAATTTTGTTGTCTAAGCAATTTAATTTCCTAGATTGCAATTTTAATGCCGATTTGACATCTGGGACTGTTATTGGGAGTTACCTTTATTCTCTGTGGCGTGACTGATCATGAAGTCTTGAGGTCGTCCTGAAAAGTCTTGAGCTTTGGTAACCAGAGCTTCTTTAATAACTGCAAAACTGTTCAGAATGACTGCTGGCCTCGATCCAGTATACAGGCTGAATATTTCCCCGTATTTTTCTGCAAACTTTAAAAAAAGCGGACAATTATTGTACAGAAAAAAATAGTTTTGACTCAAGATGAGAAGTAGTAAACCATACTTTTTCAAAATCCTTTAAAGGATTAGCTAGGTTGAGCTGAAGCAGATTTCCAAATATAGGAACTGGAGGAGGTCCTGGAGGAAAATTCTTTGGCTTCTTGACCCTTATGAGGAAGAAGATGAGCAAAATGCATATTACAACAAGAAGAGAAGAACCCAACATGCTTACTGTTGTCCAGCTGCAGTCACAAAACAAGCTTGAGTAGTAGACAGGTCTTCCTGGAGCTTTTTATATAGCAACACCTTTCTCTTAGATCTTGCTACATTCTCTAATGGCTACAACCACCATCTGATAAGGTGATTGGTTCAATATCTTGAAGATGGTAAGGCTTTTTACAAAGAAAAACAGGTAAAACAGGACTTTGGATTGGCCATTGTGTTATCCTCCCATCACCCATCTGAAACACAACTCCAAGGCTTTGGCCATTGGCCAAAATAACAAATTATTTATCATCTGCAATAACTAAAACAAAGAGAGACCATGATGCTTTCTGATATATTGATAACTATAATAATGACCAGTGCTAGAACAGGATCTCAGCTTGAAATTTGAATTATGGTTTTGTATAAATAGATTTCTTCAAATGTCACCTTTTGGTAAGCAGGAGAAGGGGGTTGAAGTGAAACTGTAATCTCAGAAACTGATTTATTCTTTGTTTAAGCTGATAATTTGATAAGGTCAGGGACAAAAATGTCAGTATCCTTTGCTCATCAACTGATCTGATCACCCTTATTGAGCATGAAGGTGTGAAAAACCACTGATTCAATAAACTGGTTCTCAATTATGTGGATAAAACCACAAACAACAACACATACACACACACACACACACACACACACACACACACACATATATATATATATATATATATATATATATATATATATATATATATATATACATATGTGTGTGTGTGTGTGTGTGTGTGTGTGTGTGTGTGTGTGTGTGTGTGTGTGTGTGTATAAGTGAGCAATTTCAGCGTTATGGATATGACATTTGCAGTAAAGGCTCAAAACATAAATTCACAATCACATAGAAACTATATGTGAAATCTATATTGAAACTTTTGTTTAGATGTTCTAGAACTAACCACAGAGCTTAAAAAAACCCAAAAAACAACAGAAAAATATCAACCTGTAAACATGTTTTATACTTGAAATGAGGAAAATAAACATGCGTTATGGATGTGACAAAAAAGTCTTACAGTATACAACATACTTTGTAGAAATTCTGTGAATTAAACTGCACAACCAAAAAAAACATTTTTCATCAAAAGGATAGGAGTCGGCTCACTATAGAACAAAAACAATTGGCTTCATTTCATTTAATATTTTCATATTTATGAGGAAAAAGCGTTGTTACAAATGTGACATCTCTAAGTTATGGGTTTGACAGATGTTAATTTGCCACTTTTGTGACTTTGGTAAATCAAAAAGAATAGTTTGAAAACATTGACATATGCATTCTTGATTATTTCTAAAGTACTGCAAAATACTTGCTTACAAAAAAAAAAAAAGTTTTCGTATTTAGGTGAAAACTTAACTTTTTTCATGGCAAGGTTGACATTTGCACATATATACACACACACACACAATTGAACATTCATATAAATGCTTAGGTAAAGTTCAACATTAGTGTTTGGTCATTGGTTGTTTTTAGCACAGAGTTGAAAATTGGTTTTGAAATTGAGTATTGCAATAAAAAAGATTTGAGACTTGCTAACTGTGAACTTTAAGTATGTATAAAATATGTTAAAATATTTTTTAAATGTTAGCACCAGTAGCCTCGTTCGAATCGTGACTTGCAGACCTTTCCCTATCCCACCTCCAAATAAATATATAATCTTTTTAAAAAGGATACATTTTTACCAGTGTATGCATGCAAAATTGTGTAGTCAAACGTGGCAAACTATATAGGCTTATTACATACTTAATAATTTAGCGATATTTCTCAGATGAAAGAAGGCAGTTTTTGTGACATGGGATATATGGTTTTCAAAAGTTAGATTGCTGTCTAATATGACACCCAGATCTTTTATACTAGAGCTAATGCTAACTTTGTATCCCTCTAATTGTAGATTGAGTTGCGAGATCTGCTGTGTACAAGATTTAGGCCCAATAAGTACTAATTCTCTTTTGTCTGAGTTTAAGAGAATAAAATTGTTGGTCATCCAGTTTTTAACATCTCTAATACACTCAGTTAGCTTAGACAGTTCAGATATCTCATAAGGTTTAGTTGAAATATGTAATTGAGTATCATCTGCATAGCAGTGAAAGCTGATCCCATGTCTTCTAATAATGTCTCCCAGTGGTAACATGTAAATTGTAAACAGCAAAGGGCCTAAAACTGATCCTTGAGGCACCCCATACTTTACTGGGCTGACTTGTGAAGGCTGTCCATTAATATTTACAAACTGGTAACGATCAGTTAAGTATGACTTAAACCACTGTAGAGCCTGTCCCTGGACACCTGTAGACTTTAAGCGATTTATGAGGATATTGTGGTCAATGGTGTCAAATGCCGCACTAAGATCGAGTAAAACTAATAGCGAGACGCACCCTTGGTCAGCAGCTAAGAGTAAATCATTGGTTATTTTCACTAATGCAGTTTCTCTACTGTGATGAGCCCTGAAACCTGACTGAAACACTTCAAAAATATTGTTCGTCTGCAGAAAAGAGCATAATTGAGTGGAAACAACTTTTTCTAGTATTTTAGACATAAATGGAAGATTTGAAATAGGCCTATAGTTCGCTAAGTTGTTGGGGTCCATTTGCGGTTTCTTAATAATAGGCTTAATAACAGCTAGCTTGTAAGAGTTTGGAACATGGCCTATAGATAAAGAAGAGTTGATAATGTTAAGAAGAGGTTCTCCTATAGCAGGCAGCAATTCTTTCAGTAATTTTGTTGGAATTGAGTCCAGCATACACGTAGCTGGTTTAGAGCTATTTATAATTTTATCTAGCTCTTCCTGTTCTATGATTTTGAAGCACTGGTTATTATTAGTATGATTCAGTGAAATATTTACAGGATTTGGAGTATAAGCCGGTGCAGAAAGTTTGGCATCTCCTATTTTCTGTCTAAAGCCTTCTATTTTATTACTGAAAAAATTCATGAAGTCATCACTACTAATTTGCGGTGGAACATTTTGTTCCAAGGATGACCGATTATTTGCTAATTTAGAGATGGTGTTAAATAAAAATCTAGGATTGTTATGGTTATTTCTATCAGTTTGCGGAGGTGCTCGGCCCTGGCAGAATTTAGAGCCCACCTATAGCTGGACATACTGTCTTTGTACACAATTCTAAAGACCTCTAAATTAGTTTTTTTTCCATTTACGTTCCAGGGCATGGGTTGCTGTTTTGAGAGCGCGAGTATGACTATTATACCATGGTGTAGTTTTATTCTCTCTAGCCTTTTTTAATTTGATTAGTGCCAGAGTATTTAGTGTGCTAGTAAAGATGGCATCCATACTGCTGGTTACTACATCAAGTTCATTTGAGTTTGCGGGTGCATTACGAAATACAGAAAGATCAGGTAAGTTATTTATAAATTCATTCTTGGTTGATGGGACGATAGCTCTATTAGGGCGAAATATTGGAGCGGGTTTGCTAATTTCAGGTAAACACAGCTTATATAGTAAGAGGTAGTGATCTGTAATATCATCACTTTGTGGTATAATGTCTACATCAATGACCTTAATTCCATAAGACAGAATTGGATCTAATGTATGCTTTAAGCGATGGGTTGGACCCACAACGTTTTGCTTTATCCCAAGTGAGTGTAGTAAATCCATAAACACGAGCCCTAATGTATCGTTAGCGTCATCTATGTGGATGTTAAAGTCACCGACAATTAGTTTTTTATCAGTTTTGACTAGTAAGTCAGAAATATAATCAGAAAACTATTTTAGAAAATTGACATAGGGTCTTGGGGGTCTATATATGGTGATTAAAGCGAGAGATAACATGTTTTTGCATAGTATCTGGAAGCTGAACATTAACCGATAATACTTCAAAGGAGCTAAACATAAGTCCGTTTCTCTGATTAATATTAAGGAAATCACTAAAGATTGATGCAACTCCACCACCACGACCAGTTTGACGAGCCTCATGTTTATATAAGAATCCTGGAGGAGTTGCTTCATTTAAGCTAATATAGTCATTTTGTTTCAGCCAGGTTTCAGTGAGACAGAGTGCATTAGGATTGTTATCTGTTACAATATCCATCTGTTAGTAAAACAAATTCAGTGTTTCGTAAGATTTAACCATTTTTAGCATTCTTCTGAAGAGCATTTGGTCTAGAAAATATGTAGAGTACAAAGATCTGATGAACTTTTGAAAAGGTCTTTTGAATGATCATTTTAAATAAACATCTTAAAGATAAACGATCAGTGCATGTTTAAAATAAATGTCTAATATACCAATTCTCCTAATCCTATAGATATTTTCAACCTCTAATCTGATTAACAGATTTTGTTATGCTATAGTCTTGTATAGACTCGCTATCGGTCATAAATCTTCTGTTAAAGAGCCACACTTTAAATGATGTGAACTTAAAGTGCACATATTTCCTGTATGGCTGTTTAAGTCCACTTCTGTGTGGAAGGAAATTCAGCATTGTGACTCTTTAGAAAAGATATTTCACTTATTATTATTATGGTATAATTTAATGATATTTATCAAAATTGAAATGTTTTCCCTTAAAATATTCTCTTTAAAATGAGCATCAGAACTGTGCAAAGGAGATGTTGTAAAACTGAGATGATTTTAAGAATGCATCAAAGAGAATTGATTAGACCTTTATTGTGTTTGTAGAAAAGACAGAATATCAAAAGTACATTTAAAAGATTCATGATATATAAACATTGAATGATTGATATGTTCTTGTTAGAAACAGCGTCTGAAGAAATGTAAATGCATTTTTACCTCCAGAACCTGACTGTTATTTATTTTCTGGAACTTTATATACAGCATTAAGATTCACTGTTTAACTGTGTCTCTCCGCCTGATGTGCATTCTGTAGGGTTTGGGTGTCATGGTGAGCCCAAATACAGGGGTGTAATCTGGTTTCCCTGCATCTTCGGGCCAAACAAACTGAAAACGCCGCAACAGAGTGACAAAAATCAAGAAGAGCTCCATACGGGCCAGACCTTCACCCAGACACACACGAGGACCTGGAGAAACACAGTGAATGCAGGATTAATTACAAAATACAGCTACAAGCATAAACTACTAGGGGTTGATAACTGCATAAACAATAACTTATTCAGTAATGCTACAATCACAGAAATCAGGGATGGAGAAGGTTACCATTTACATGTATACATGTTTGTTTGAATGCATTTTACATTGGTAATGGTGGGCTGCAATGTCAAGCAATTATACACACAACACAATCTTACATCGTCAAAAAAATGGAAACAGCTTCAAATGGTCCTTAATATATCAGTGATGAGGACAAAACTCAAGCTGAGAGCAGTGTGTGGTGCATTGGTTTAGCTCCTCAAGAATGGATTGGTAGACTAAAACATAGCTGTGTTTATTCAGCCTTTGAAAGTGTAGGGGAGCAGCAGCCATTATAGCATTTAAAGAGAGAAGAGTCTCCACTGTGGTCGGATGTGTTTTGGTAGGGTAAAAAGGATGTTTATTTAAACTCCCATTTAGAGATTTAACCAAAGCAAGACTTTTCATTAAGACCTTAAAGCAGGGGTGATCAACTCTATTCCTGGGCCCAGTTATTAAAAAAAATTAATCTGGATCAAATTGGTCCAGATTTGGAAATCCCATGTTTTGCTATCCAGGATTAACCAATCGATCTTACTTTTATGACAGTTTTTTAAAGGAACATTGAGTTGGATCCTGTTTACTAGAGCCTTAAATAGAACCAACGTTGTGGTCTACTGGCTTAGGAATGAACAACAGGTAGGCAGAATAGCAGTAATGGTGTTGAGCAACCCTGCCTCAAAGAATCTGATCAATCTGTGTAAAATTGGCATCTAAAGCACTTCTAAAATCCAATGATGCCTCCCAGTGGCTGATTTTTTTAGTCCTCTTATCAAGATAAATAGGAAATGCAAAATGCCTGAATTTAGCTACATTGGCATATTGGTATGAGTGGGTGTGCTTTTGATCATTGTGGTGCTACTGTCAGGGTGACATTAAAGAATGGAAGAAACCACCCCATCTGTAAACTTTTAAATTGGAATGACTTACAGTTTAGTCTGTTTTATAGAAGCATAAACACAAATTAGCGATTAAAACAGGTAGGGTTCATACACATTTTTGCTACTAAAATTCCAAGATTTTAAGAGTTTCAAATAAATATTCATCAATGGCACTAGACAGCGTCAACGCTCCTGATATCACCTTTAAAGAGAATGTAAGAATATTTGAAAATGGAGAATTTGGCATCATTTTGTAAAGCATATATCTTTTAGCTTAACTTATAAATGATAAGTTAATTCATATGGCAATCAACCCAGTTGTAATTTCTGCTGAGGGAGAGTATCAGGGAGTATGTTTTCATGGACAGCAATACTCAATACACAATACTCTGATTAAGAGTTTACCATGTAAACAGCGATTTTTGAATAATTTAATCCAATTAAGGTCATAATTGAACTACACAGAAATCAGATTAAGACATGTGGAGTATGCCGATTTCAGTCGTATTATCGAAGTGCAGTATAGACATGCAAACACCACAATCAAACCATTGCCATAGTGTAGGATTTTCACTACATTTTGAGACAGGATATTCCATACACACACAGCTGTGTGACACTATTATTTGCATCTACCAAGTCAGTGAAGGGCTACAGACACCTGCACCACAAAATGCGGAGGTTTTTTTCCATATGGCTTGCGTAGTAGGTTACATATTAAACCAATTAAGAAAAAAAATTATATATATATATATATATATATATATATATATATATATATATATATATATATATATATATATATATAAAATTATTATTATTATTATATAAAATTCTATTCTCTGCTTTGATTTCCTAAAAATAAGGCAGAATTCCTGAAGATGGCAAACAGAAAGTTGAGCACTTCTATTCACCCCACTAAATTTAAAATTTTAAATATTACCAATGAAGCATATTCAAGTATATTTGTTAAACAGACATCATTGACTTTTTCAAAACTTCTTGGGTTTACTTTAAAGCCTGGAAAATGCCATGTCAAAATTCCATGACTTTTCCAGGTTTTTCATGACCGTCTGAACCATGAATAAGATTTCAGTGCTGTGCTAGAACCCCTAAAACTGTTACCTGTGGAGAAGGGTATGAAGGCCTCAGGCTTCTCAAACTGGCCCTGCTCATTCAAGAAGTTTGCTGGGTTAAACTCATGAGGAAACTTCCACTGACCCTCTTCTTTTAGGACAACAGTGAGATTAGGAATGATTACAGTTCCCTGACAAAAAAAAGAAAAAAAAAAGGTTAAATTTGTTTTAAAGAATAAAACCTTTAGTCTCTTAGAAGTTTTTCTCACCTTTGGGATGCTGTAGCCCATTAGCTCTGTGTCTCTTGTGGTGCAATGCAACACACTTAGTGGTACAATGTTAGCGACACGCTGAACCTCATGAATCACAGCCAGTGTGTACGGCATATTATGTCTGTCTTCATATGTCACCTGATCTTTACCCTCCAGAACATCATCAATCTCTTGCTGGCATTTTACTGGTTAGAAAACAAGACAGTGTTTGAATGTTGCTGTCCTTTTGAGATGCTAGCTTTGCTAACATACTTCTGACAGTTTGAAAACTTAACACTTCAAATAAAATTCAACCTGTTTAAAATAAAAACGAATTTAATGTGTGCTCAAACCTTGCACTTCTGGGTGGTTCATGAGGTAGAGGAAAGCAGCAAGGAGGGTGTTAGAAGTGGTGTCAGTCCCTGCAAAGCTCATATCCATAATGTTCATGATGAGCTGGTCTTCAGAAAAAGTGGAAACACAATTTTTTACCTGGAGAATGCAAGATATCATTAATCTGAGTCTCAAGTGGTTGTACACAGAACATTTACAGAGTTTCAATGTATTCCCAGAAAGTTGTTTGTCAGCAGAAAGTTGCACCTTATCGAGCTCATCCAGATAGCAGTCAATGAAGTCTCTCGGCTGTCCTGGGACTCTTGTGCTCTTGTGTTCATCAATCAACTTTCGATTCATACTTTTTATTATTTTTACATTATCAAATGCTTTTTTAAAAGGCAGGGGCAGGATTCTCAATAAAGGAAATGTGTCGTATATCTGGTAGAAAAGAACAAAAATCTCAAGTTATTTACAAATGCACCTTACAGCACCAAACAAAAAGCATTAAAATGGTGAGAAAAATGAAGTTATCAAGTGATATTGCAAGGGCTGTGTTTGAAATGCCATACTATCATACTACTGTTAGCATTTCTTCAGTATCCAGAATATATGCTGTGCATAGTATGCATGTGTGCAATATACTATGAATTTTATGCACATTCTTTGTATGTAATTCCCAGATTACCTTTTACTTTTGCTGAAATCTGATGTATGCATCCCAGGACTGTGCGCGATATACACTACCTAACAAAAGTCTTGTCGATCCCAATTACAAGAGCAACAAATACTAACTTGACTTCTAGTTGATGATTTGGAAAAGTGGCGGAAGAATTTTTTAGATGAATCATCTGTTGAACTGCATCCCAATGATCACAAATACTCCAGAAGACCTATTAGAACCTACATGTACTCTAGATTCCCAGAGAAATCAGTCAAGTTTGATGAAGGAAAAATCATGGTTTGGGATTACATTCAGTCTAGGGGTGTGCAAGAGATCGGCAGAGTGAATGGCAACATCAACAGCCTGAGGTATCAAGACATTTGTGCTGCCCACTACATTACAAACCACGGGAGAGGGCAGATTCTTCAGCAGGATAGCGCTCCTTCTCATACTTCAGCCTCCACAAAGTACCTGAAAGCAAAGAAGGTCAGGTGCTCCAGGATTGGCCAGCCTAGTTACCAGACATGAACATTATTGAGCATGTCTGTGGTAAGATGGAGGAGTCATTGAAGATGAATCCAAAGAATCTTGCCTTTCTAGATGACTTTATTAATAAGTTATTTGAGTCTCTGCAGAGATGTATGGATGCCGTCGTTCAAGCTCATGGGAGTCAAACACAATATTCATTCTGTTTCCATAGCACCATGACTTTGTTCTATACTGTATATCATTTCTGTTAAGTGACAAGACTTTTGACTAAGCAAAGTCAGACATTACCGTCCTAAGTACATAATTAAAAATCAAGGCTTGATCACAGTTTATTTGGGTAAAATAAATGTAATCTAGAGGCCTTTGCCTTTTATATAAGCTACTTTTGATATCAAATGATCAACTAGAAGTCAAGTTATTTTTTTGTTGTTAAAACTTAAACAGGCGACAAGACTTTTTGTCGGGTAGTGTAGTTTCCCCTTGTGCATATGATGTTTTAATTTTAAAAATATGGTGGTAAAGAGCATGCATGTGAGTTGAGTGGACTGGAGGCGGAGAGCACTTAAGAATGTAACATTTATAATTATCTGTTTGTTTGTTTGTTTGTTTGTTTGTTTGTTTGTTTGTTTGTTTTTTGTAAATACGTGCATGTTGAGAAAACAGTGTATCCACACTACTGCTTAAGCACAAATTACTATATTCACTATATTCAATTCAGTTGTCCAAATTAAATAGTGCTTTATAACGAATGTTCACCAAAAGTGTTTGGAAATATAATTGCTCATAAGTTAAACATGACTTGTTCTTATTTGTTAAAGTTACTGTAGCAATTATTTGAGATATTAATCCTAATTACAGACCACACCAACATTTCTAAGCATTTATTCCAGAGTTAATGAAGTTAATGGATTAAATACTTTAATGCATTTTATAATACATTGCAAGGTCTCATAAAGAACTGTCATAGCAATTGTAATATTAATCTATATACAATGCATTATTTTGTGGCTTATATTATGACATACTATTATAATGCCCTATACATAATTTATATAACCACAAATATAGGTGCCAACCACATAATTATGTAAGGTAATTTGATCAGCTGTACTGAATAACATCTAGGTGTTGGTCATGTCAAACATTATAACACATTACCCTTTAAAAAATAATTAGCATAGGATTTATTGCCTTACACACTATTCCTAAAAATATGGTAGCCAATATGCACTGTATACTGTGCAGTTCTGTGCAAAAATTTTCATTTTTGAGATCTCACCATGTTCCAGGGTCCATTAAGGATCCTTAAATTCTCAGCAATGCGCTGAATGTAGCCCCGAAGGAATTCGTTGTTGTAATCAAAACGGCATCCGAACAGAACCAGGTTTATAACATTTGATGCAATATTATGAAACATAATCTGAGGATCGACTGTTTTCCCTGTACAAATGTAAATAATAATAAAAACATTTACTTGCCAAAATCTCAAAGAAATGGTCTTCAAGAAATAGAAAAATCACATATAAATACCCGTGTTCTTGTCAAGGAAATCAACAATGTGTGAAATTTCCCCCAGAATTCTCTCCTCCATGGACTGCTTCCCCAGACCAAAATTTCTCAGGGTCATGAGAGCAAAACGCCGATGGTCCTTCCAAAGGGGTCCATAGTCAGCCAACACAACACCTTAAAAATGATGAAGTCATTTATGAGATCTAGCACTACTCTTTTTTTTACATCTAAAACAGTTTCTACTAGGAGTTATTTATTTATTCGAGTCAGGGGTGTAGCAAACAATTTAAAAGTGGGGGGACAGCTAAATAAGATCCAAAATTTTACATTTATGTTATTATTAATCACCTGTTTCTATGATCTGTCTCTAAAAGTGAGGGGGTCGTATGTCCCCCATCCCCCCGGTTGCTACGCCCCTAATAGGAGTTATACCTTTATTCCCAGTAAGATGACTGATCATTAAGTCTTGAGGTCGTCCTGAGAAGTCTTGAGCTTTGGTAACCAGAGCTTCCTTAATAACCTCAAAATTATTTAGAAAAACTGCTGGCTTTGATCCAGTGTACAGGCTGAAAATGTTGCCATATTTTTCTGCAAGCTAAAAGCAAAACAAAAAAAATATTTAAAAATTAAAAAAATGAAATGTTAAAACTCAAGATGAGAAGTAAGCCATACCCTTTCAAACTCTTTCAAGGGATCAACCATGTTGATCTGAAGCAGATTTCCAAATATAGGAACAGGAGGAGGTCCAGGAGGAAAATTCTTCGGCCTCTTGATACGAATGAGGAAAAAGACGAGAAAGATGCATATTAAAATAAGAACAGAAACCTCTAACATCCTTACTGCTGTGCCCTTGTTTAACACGAGCGAAACGAGCTTGTAAAGCAGACAGGGCTTTCTGGACCTCTTTATATCATGGACTTTCGGAGATATTGCAACATTCTGGCAAACAACTTATACAAACTTTTTTGAGCGCAAGCGGAAACCACGTCACGCCGGGTATTCAACCCAGTCTGTTGCGGGATCGACCGAAAAATGGACCCGAATATTTTAGAAAAATCATTATATGTACTTTGTACTGGTTTAATAAGTGAACATAATCAATAAAATCATTTACATAAACCTAATAGGCTAGTACCTACCAAAAGTTTGATTATTTGTTCTTTGTTCTGCAGACTATATAATTACACGTTTCAGTCACTTGAGGATCAACGTGAGAGTTTTGCGAGTCACGTTTTATTGTATTGCATACAAACAGGCGCACTGGTTTAAATATAAAGTAGACGTGTGATCAGTTTGTTTAGTCACGTCTGTCGCTATAGACTGTAAAATGCAGGTTTTTTTCGGTGTGTGAAGCAGGTATGGCAAATAAAGCAGTAGAGAAATGTTATGGCTCACCATAGCTACACAAAGTTTACAATAATTTTTGCGATCAATCTTTGCGAACGCAAGTGGTTGGACTGTGCTACTGAAACCTGCGTGTTGCTGATTTCTGTGTGTCGCTCTGATAGTAAACTGTACATTTGCGTGAGAACCTTTTATAAAGGCCCGTAGAGGGGTTCGGTTGGTTTGTAAGACCCTCACTGACAAATGTCCAGGTCCAGAATTTAAAAAATAGTAAAGAATATTGAAACTAACCCATTGATAAAGGCTATAAGATTAAGCGGAAGTTGGATGTAGCTTCGGTGTGACCAGTGCTAAGAAAGAGGAGAAAGAGCCCCAAGTGGTGCTCGCTACAGAGCCATTTGAGGAGAGCTGAGCTCCAGCGAGGGGGAGCTTAAGCTTGAGCTCCACCTTTTTTGCACTTCTTCTACGAGTGATGTCACAAGAGTCCAACATCCAGCTGTGCAAGAGAACACACAATCTGACGTAAGAGTTATGACTGTAGTGTTTTTATATAGAGAAAACATTTTACAAGTAACTTTCAATCAAAATCTTGTAATTATTTTTATTGAAATGGCTAAATTCTAATTGAGGAAAATTGAACTTGCTGGCCAGTTTGTTATTTACTTTGGATGTACTTTGGTATATCAATAAGTGTGGTTATGATAACCATCCAACAAGCCAATTCAGCTGAAAAAATAGTGCTTAAATTGTCATAAAAATGCCATATTTAAATCTCATAATTAAATAGAAAATGAAACCACCTCAAAAAAAAAAAAAAAAAAAAGAACCACCTCTTTCACCAGGTGCCTGTGGGCCTGAAATAGCCTATTAAACATTACTAAAATGTATATCAAATTTCATTTATTGAACAACACAGTTGTCTTATTATGATAAAGGTCATTTAATTATCGTTAACTAATTTGAGATGTTGAGAGGACAGCAATAAGGTTGCTGGTTCGACCTCAGCTGGGTCAGTTGGCATTTCTGTGTGGAGTTTGCATGTTCTCCCTGTGTTTGCTTGGGTCTCCTCCGGGTGCTCCTGTTTCCCAACAGTCTAAAGACATGCGGTGAATTGGGTCAGCTAAATTGTCTGTAAAGTTAAATTTTTATGTGACTGTAACGAAGTAACAAAAATACATTTGAAAGATGCATCATTCATCCTCTTGAATTCATAGAAGATCCATATTGAAACAGTAGGCCTATAATGTTCTTGATATAAATAGTTTATATAGTAAAAATTGTTTTGTAAATGTGTAAAAACTAAAAGTTAAAAGTTTAAAAAGTCAAATCAACTTTTTGTTATCACTGTCAGCATTAAGATTCACTGTTTAACTGTGTTTCTCCGTCTGATGTGCATTCTGTAGGGTTTGGGTGTCATGGTGTGCCTGAATACAGGGGTGTAATCTGGTTTCCCAGCATCTTCGAGCCACACAAACTGAAAACGCCTCAAGAGAGTGACAAAAACCAAGAAGAGCTCCATACGGGCCAGACCTTCACCCAGTGTATTTACTCACCCATTTTGTGATTAACCCAGTTATAGCTATCCCATTCAAAAAGTTACACTTTCTTTGATTGATTTGTTGACCTAGAGAGTCTTGACAGTTGCACTGTAATGGTTTCTGATACTTTTGGAATAATCTCATATATTTGTTAGGTGATATTTGTCTGATGGCTGTAACTTTGGTATCCCATGTTATCTTTTAAAACACCTTACAAAATGCATCATTGGATATTTATTGAACAGTTTAGCAGTTATGAGCAATTTGAGCAAAACTTATGATTGCTGTAGCGCCACCATCAGACTGATTGGGGTGAGTTTTAGTGACACTATAGAAGGGGTGAGGACTACTGTGATTTACAGTGTTACAATTTATTGTTTGGGCTGTCTGGTCAGGGCAGAATGGTGATCTGTGAAAATCCTAATAATTACAACCGAGTTTCAGTACTGTGCTTGAATACTTAAAAATGGTTACCTATGGAGAAATTTATGAAAATATAAAAATTAACAAATAAAAAACTCAAACTGGTTTAAATTAAGACAGATTTAATAATGTGCGCTCAAACCTTGCACCTCTGGGTGGTTCATGAGGTAGAGGAAAGCAGTGAGGAGGGTGTTAGAAATGTTGTAGGTCGCTGCAGAGTGCAAATCGTAAACGGTCATAACAAGCTGGTCTTCGGAAAAGGTGGAAACATTGATTTTTACCTGTGGAATGTAAAATATCAATAATCTCAATTAAAGGCACACTTCATTTATATATTGTAAATTGTGAAATGTATACTTAGATGTTTGTCAGCAGAAAGTGGCACCTTATCAAGCTCATCCAGATAGCAGTTAATAAAGTCTTTCGGCTCTCCTGGCACTCTTGTGCTTTTGTGTTCGTCAATCAGCTTCTGATTCATACTTTTTATTGTTTTCATATTATCCCCTGCTTTTTTAAACGGCAGGGGCAAGATTCTCAATAAAGGAAGCGTGTCGGATATCTGGTAGAAAAGAACATAAAATATCAGGGGTTGCCACAGTGGAATTAACCACCAATTACTCTGGCAAATGTTTTGTTGGTGAATGCCCTTCCAGCCACAACCAAGCACTAAGAGTACAACCCTCAATGCTGAGAAACACCCACACACTCTCCCATATACAAACTATGGTCAATTTAGTTTATTTCAGTTCATGTAGTTCTCTCTAGAATGAGAGAGTCCATGCCCTTAATAGCATACTGCATTTCCTCCCTCTAATTATTGATTATTGATTTTCTAGAAATACTTGAACTCCATTCTAACAGCATTGGTATTTCATGTGAACAGAGTAGTTCTGTATAACATTATGGGAATGTAAGTTGTCTGTGCAGATTCCACTAGTAAACATTGGTGTTTTAAAATTAAAATAAATGTGTTGACAGATGGAATCAGCTTAGTACATGAATAATGATGTACTAATATGTAAATCAAACGCTGCTTCGACATGAACTAATGATGTGCTAAGGTATGCGCTAATCAAGAACTAACTTTAATGAGTCACATGAATTCATTTTGAATAATGGCTATTATTTCTTGTTAGTCCATGTTTGTTAATGTATTAACACTTTAGATTTAAATATGTCATGCCATGGCTTTACTTGAAGGGGCACATAATCATTCACTCTTTCTTAACTACTCATGAACTCTTATGTTTAAACCTAACAGTTGTGCTCATCCGTCTAGTGCATGTTTAAATTGAAAAATAATAGAAAAGTGTTCTGCCTAAACAAATAAATGAACAGTTTAAACCAACTCAGGCTCTTTCTAATTACGTTCCTCTATTTACATTTCTGGAGAAAGCTAAATAAGTCTCAGGAGCTACGTTTTTTGCAGCTGTGGATGCTTTTTCAGGTCTAAATTTTTCTTGTGAATGCAATTTGTGCCTACTGTTCTCCTGTATCCACCAGAGGTCACTGTTGAGTTACTGACTCCCCAACTGACCGACCACCCAGACCTTCCCCCTTCCCCAAACCCAACCAATAGTTTTTTTAAAAGCACCTATTGACCCGCCCACCCCCTTCCCTAAACCCATTTGCAGTGTTTTGAAAAGCCATCAAAAAAAAAAAAGAAGCGGTCAGCTGGTAAATGCAAAAAGCAACAGCGTCATACCACCCTGTAGCGTTTGTTTTAAAGATAAAATGCAGCCATACATACTTCTGGCTGCATAATTCGCAATCTCCAAAAATGTATATAGGGCTACATTTTCAGAATGAGCCTATGATTATTTACACAAAGGAGTTCATAAGTAGTTAAGAATGAGTCAATGATTATGTGCCGCTTCAAGTAAAATTATGATATAAAGAGCAGGTCAACAGTAACAACCCCTATTTTTAACTCTCCAAAAAATGAAAAAAATTTGCTTTTACTCTCTGATGGCCAAAGCAAGTAAAAAAAAAAACATTATATATGCTTTAAAAAATTCAGGAAAAAGTGTTTTATGTAAATTCGGACCATAGGTCCACATGTCTGGATATCATTTTTCTCTAAAAGTACATCATGTCAAAAGGTGATACTTAGATTTTTATTTTAATTAGGTTCAAATAAGCCCAAATAGCAAAGAGAAATTAAAAATGCATGTAAAAAACACCTTGAGCCTTAAGAGGATATGCACACAATCTTTTAATTTCAGTCAGCCAGCCTGGGCTTCCGGTTTATTGTCATCTCATACAAAATCACTGCATTCAAGATCTGATTTCTTTAAAAAAAAACAGTGATCTTCACTGCCTGGCTGAGATACGATATAAAGTGGGTGTCAGATAAAACAAGAAGCATTAAATTATATTTTTCCTTGCCATGTCTTAATATAATATGAAAATAAATTTTACCCCAGTATTTTCAATGGAGTTTCTGCGCTGGTCTGCTGCTATTGACGGCACCTCCGTTTAAACGTCTTTCATGTCTTTTTATGCTTGAACAACTAAATGAATGCTTAAGTCTATTTAACTGAATGTATTGTAATAACATTACAACATCCATGCGGTATGAGGAACCTTATGAAATTAGTCACATAAAGCTTCCACCAGAAGTTCACCATTGGCTGAAAAACACTATGCATATGTAGCCCATTCTAAGGTCAGGAAGCTCCCAAATGAGAATCAATAAAAGGTGTACAAGTGCATTTAGGGAGTTTGGAACAGCAACGAGATCAATGACCACAATTTTAATGCCTCGTATCTCCAAAAACCTTTTCAGATTCTGTTACTGCAGCACATCAGCATGTGATTTTCCCTTTCAAGAGTTCACACTTAGCTGATGATTGATTATAAGCTAGTTTGGCATGCTGTCCCGGGAGAGAGCCCTGAGCCCAAAGGTTCTTGAGCCCTGGGCTCCCTCCCGTTTGGAGGACGAAAGGGGAGCTTTGAGCTCAGGTAGATCTCGACAACTCCCCCTTGATAAAAACTGATGACTAAAAATTGAATGCTATGAAAAGATATGCTGCATGGTGAGAGATTAACTGTAGTGCAAAATTTAGATTTATCAATTTACTTCTTGTGCATGTTTTTGGAATGTGGGAAGAAACCGGAGGACCCAGGGAAAACCCACGCAAGCTCGGGAAGAACATGCAAACTACACACAGAAAAGACCACCGGCCGGTTAAAGGACTAGAACCGGCAGCTGGATAGGCATCCATTGTGTAAAACATATGCTGAATAAGTTGGTGGTTTATTCTGCTGTTGCAACCCCAGATTAATAAAGGGACTAAGCCGAAAAGAAAATGAATGAATGAATGAATGAATGAATGAATGAATGAATGAATGAATGAATGAATAAATGAATGAATGAATGAATGAATGAATGAATGAATGAATGAATGAATGAATGAATGAATGAATGAATGAATGAAATGTAAACGAAAAAGTACTGGCAGTTTACTTCCAGGTTTTTGTATCGTAATTTAAGACACCAAACAAGACAATATATCACATCAAACCAAACTAAAATGTCAATAAAAGTCACTTTCTCAAACTTTTTAACATAAAAGTTGTTGGAAGAAAGATCAAGATCTCACAATGCAATTAAAAATCATAAAGAAAGAAAGAAAGAATACATAATATAGAATACATAAATCACAAAATATGGAAAACTGTTAATTTACAGATATTTTTACAGTGTGCATACAACTTTTTAAACACTTATTTTCAGCCATAATTATTCAATGCATGTCTCCTGAGGAATGTGCATGCATATTAAAATTAGACAACAAATGAAGGGTTCTTTATGCTCAATTATGGCAACAGTTAAAAACAAAACTGTGTCTATGAGAGTGGCAATTTAAAAGGAAAAAAAATATATGTTAAAATATTTCAAATAAGCCTATTTTACTGGCCCCCACCTCAGTGCTTGAATGCGTTTGCATAAAATTTTGGTATCACTCATTTTTTGAATCTTAAGTTACATTGCATCTACATGCTAACTAATTCTCAATATAAGTAGAGTGTTAGGTTGGGTTTAGGGTTAGTGTAAGTTGACATGTACTTGCAAAGTTTCTTGTAGTCAGTTAAATGTGTTGAAGGAGCGGTATGAGCAGATGTCAAGCAGACCTTCTACTAATACTCAAATGAGAAGTAGTTGGCATGTAGCTGCAATGCAACTTTTAGTCAACAAAAATGTGCAATAGGGACCATCAAAAGTCTCACCAAAAATGTTTATTAAAAGAAAAGGCTAAGGTTTTGTGTTGTCAAACTGGCAAGCTTGCATTATAGGCTTATTATCCTACTGGTTATGATGGAAAATTGTGAAAAATGTATAATTATTCTAAGGAGAAATATTATGAATTAATTCTTGACAAAAACAATACCGTCCTCACAAAGATAATACAGATGAATAAATAGCTGCCAATATGAATCCAGTTTTTCATAAGATTTAGGCATCTTTTCACAGTTAGTATGTGTATTTTAAAGAGTCTTGAAAATATCTGCTGTGTTCAGCAAACTGATAAACTTTTAAATGATAATTTTTTTAAAATAAACATCTTAAAGAAATATTGTTGATGTCAATGTAATGCATTTGCATTTGTTGTTTTAGTGATAATATAATGAGCAGTTGAAATCAGAATTATTAGCCCCTCTTTGATTTTTTTTTCTTTTTTAAATATTTCCCAAATGATGATTAACAGAGCAAGGAAATTTTCACAGTATGTCTGATAATATTTGTTCTTCTGGGGAAAGTCTTATTTGTTTGATTTCGGATAGAATAAAATAAGTTTTAGATTTTTTATAAATCATTTTAAGGTCAAAATTATTAGCCCCTTTAAGCTATTTTTTTCGATAGTCTACAGAACAAACCATCAATATACAATAACTTTTCTAATTACCCTAACCTGTCAAGTTAACCTAATAAACCTAGTTAAGCCTTTAAATGTCACTTTAAGCTGTATAGAAGTGTCTTGAAAAATCTTCTCTCTGTTAAAAAGAAATTGGGGGAAAATAAACAGGGGGGCTAATAATTTAGGGGGGTTAATGATCCTGACTTAAACCGTGTACTTGTTTCTCATTCTCTTTGTTGGAGTACAACAAGAAAATACACATTTTTTTTGGTCTAATTGTTTATGACATGTGAAAGAGAAATGAAATTAGTGCAGCCTTAATTGAAACCTGTTGGAGACTTTGTGTAATATTATAAACTTGGAGTACACTTATGTTCTGTATATTGGTGTTTAAGTTCTCCTCTTGGTAGAAGACATTCAGCATTGTAACTGCTCAGAGAAGATATTTCAGGTATTATCATGACAAAGGTCATTTAATTATAGTTGAGATGATTTCTCTCAATGATTTAATTCAAAGTGAACATCGAGGCTGTGCAAAGAGAAGATTTGCTTCACAAATATGTGATGTTATAGGAATGACTCAAAGAAATGAAGATTGATTAGACCTTTATTGTGTAGGCTGAAAAATCAAATCCACAAAAGTATGTTTGAAAGATGTGTCATTCATCCTCTTGAAGTTTATTCATGTTGAAAGATTACAATGTTATTGTTACTGTGTACTGAAAAATAATTCACTGAATTTTTACCTCCAGTACCTTACTGTCATCATTGATTACCTGCAACTTTAAATACAGCAGCACTGTCAGCATTAAGATTCACTGTTTAACTGTGTTTCTCCATCTGATGTGCATTCTGTAGGGTTTTGGTGTCATGGTGATCCCGAAAACAGGGGTGTAATCTGGTTTCCCAGCATCTCTGGGCCACACAAACTTATAACGCCGCAACAGAGTGACAAAAACCAAGAAGAGCTCCATACGGGCCAGACCTTCACCCAGACACACACGTGGACCTGGAGAAACACAGTAAATGCAGGATAAATGAATATAAAATATATAGCTACAAGTTCAAGTGCTTAAAGGGCTCATATAAAATAACTAATTTAGCAATCGCTAAAATCAGGGATGAAAAGATTTTTTGGCCATTTCTAGTCATTTGCAAAAGAAATACAGCAGTTTTCAATTTAAGACTCATTTTTGTTTAGGAATATAAGCATTTTTGGTATATTTGACCATACCTCTTTTGTAAATGACCCTAAATATAAATGTTGACCTAGACAATTGCACTATAGTGGTTTCATTTAGACTGATTAAAAAAGTCTAGGACTAAAAAATGTAGGTTTCTCAAAGAATGTCAAAAATTTGATAGGCGATCTGTCTGATGACCAGAGACAGATTTAACCAATAAGTGAGGTAAGAGGCTGTTAGGGCCCCAGGAAATCTGGGGGTCCCCAATAAATCTAGAAGTATAATTAGAAAAATAAATTATACCTATAAACTACATATATGTAATGTGAAGTGGGACGCTGAAAAGTGCATGCAAATCCAAATGCAGGGTTTGATAATGGTCAGGTAAGCAATGGTCAACACAGGGGCAAACAGATGTATGTAGGCAAATCAAGATTTGTGGTTAAAATAACAGGAGAGTTGTCAGAAGGCAAGCAGCAAACAGGGACAAACAATAAAACAAACAAAACAAAGCAAGGGTCAAAACCAGCAAGACAAGGCAAGGGAAATGTGTCATAATGTTCACAAACAGTATCACAAGACTCAGCAAAGGTTGTGTGTTAGTGTGCTGTTTAAACAGTCCAACTAATCAGTCTTTGAGCAGCTTCAGGTGTGTTAGTTAGCAATCAGCCAGGATTAGGAACCGGTGTGTGTGTGTGCAGTGCATGACTAAATCTTGTAGTCCATATAATGGTAGATTTTTAGTTCTATGCGATACTGTGTGTTTACCAGCGATCTACACAGGCTGGATCTAAAATACAATTAAATATAGTATTGTTATATTATATGTATGTATTTATAATATTAATAATATTTAAAAAATAAAATATCCATTACGCAGCCGTCCAACAGTAAAATTTATAAAAAAATATATATATTTATTATTATTTATTTTAGCTGTAAATTCATTTTAAGAAAACTAATAATTTAAAATGTAGAGCTTACATTCATTTAAAATGTTAAAGAAAATTGAGCGCTATAAAAAACAGCAATATAAATAAAAATTAAATAAAAGTAGAAAGGGTGCAGTCTGTATGGCTAGAATAGCTTAGGGCCCCAAAATTACTAAATCTACCCGTGCTGATTGCAGTGATTGCAGTTTGGTATCGCATGAATAACATTTTTAAAATGCATTGGCGTCCCAAGTGGTTACTGGGTTGTTTAGGAAATACAAAGTATGTTTATTTAGCATTTGTGAGCAATTTCATGCTTATGATTGTAGCGCCATCATCAGACTGAATGGGGTGAGTTTTAGTGACATTGTAGAAGGGGTGAGAACTACTGGGATTTACAGTGTTCTAATTTAGAGTTTGGGCTGCCTGATCATTGTTAGGGCAGAATGGTGATCTATGAAAATCCTATTAATTACTACAGCATTTCAGTGCTGTGCTTAAATACTTAAAAACGGTTACCTGTGGAGAAGGGTATGAAGGCTTCAGGCTTCTCAAACTGGCCCTGCTCATTCAAGAAGTTTGCTGGGTTGAACTCATGAGGAAACTTCCACTGACCTTCTTCTTTTAGAACAATAGTGAGGTTGGGAATGATGAGTGTTCCCTGACAAATCAGAAACAGTTTATTACAGTTTGTTTTGAAGTAAAATAACCTTTAGTCTGAATGTTTCCTCACCTTTGGGATGCTGTAGCCCATTAGCTCTGTGTCTCGTGTAGTGCAGTGAAACACACTTAGCGGTACAGTGTTAGCGACACGCTGAACCTCGTGAATCACAGCCAGTGTGTACGGCATATTGTCTCGGTCTTCATACGACACCTGATCTTTACCCTCCAGAACATCATCAATCTCTTGCTGACATTTTACTGGTAAGAAAAAACAAGGCTGTGTTTGACTATTCAAGCTCCTTTTGAAATGCTAGCTTTGCTAACATAACATACTTCTGAAATTTTGCAAATGTCAAAACAGCAATAAAAACATTACACCAATTCACATATTTGGATTATTCAGTACGAATTACACTTCAAAACTGTATTTATAATTTCTTATTTTAATGTGGCTTAACAATATAACAAAGGTTTCCATTCCTGTTGATACTCCTCTACTTTCTCTGGTTTAAACCTGGATTAAATGAAGACAAATGAATGTGTGCTTTTCAAACTCAAACCTTGCACCTCTGGGTGGTTCATGAGGTAGAGGAAAGCAGTGAGGAGGGTGTTAGAAGTGGTGTCGGTCCCGGCAAAGTACAGATCCAGAATGTACATGAGGAGCTGGTCTTCGGAAAAGGTGGAAACCTCATTTTTTCTCTGAGGATTGTAAGATATCTCTCATTTGAGTCTCAAGCAGTGGTGCATAAACAGTATTTACAGATTTCAGTTATGAACATTTCAAAACCATCCAGACCATTGCATTACAGAAAAATGATGCACCTTATCAAGCTCATCCAGATAGCAGTCAATGAAGTCTCTCGGCTTTCCAGGGACTCTTGTGCTCTTGTGTTCGTCAATCAGCTTCAAATTCATACCTTTTAATACCTTCACATGATCAAATCCTTTTTTAAAAGGCAGGGGCAGGATTCTCAAAAAGGGAAGTGTGTCATATATCTGTTATAAAAGAACATCCAAATTTAAGTACACGTAGCTTAGAGATACCTTTAAATATCAACAAAATACACCCCACAAAATATCTCTGGCCCAGACAATCAGCTTGTACTTGGCCCACATGCCGCAGTGAATTACATTACATGACTGCACCAAGTCTGGCTTTCAGACAAGAGCCAAACATGGACCATATCTGGGCCAAGTCTCAGCCAAGTTAATAACCCTATCTGATCCTGAACTGGGCCAAATATGTTGGTGTGTCATGACTGCAATGAAATTGATAAACCCATGAATCATTGCACTTTAGGCATGCTATGGGTGTGCTTTTTGTCAAAGCGACTTGATTAGTAGAATTTTTTTTTCTTTATTTAAAATAGAAATTGATTTTAAATATGGGTCAGGACAGGCCAAACTTACATGGCCCACATATCAGTTATTAACATCTGGGACAAATACTACAATTTACATCTGGCCCAAGTATTGTGTGCCGCCCTAAAGACGGTGCCACCTCTGCTAAACCAGGCCACATGCTCTATGCCAGTGGCGGATGAATGCCTGCTGTGTCAAATTTATGGCAAATCTGGGCCAGAATTTTTTGCTACCTTGGACTTTTTGCAGATATTTCTAAACTGTAGGACAATAGATAAAAAATATGCACTACAAAGATTTTTCACCAAACAGACCCTCTCTCTCTATAATGATATTTCAGTAATTTGAACGCTAAAGACCTTATTTGGCATACTTTTCTAACTTTTGTGCACAGCATTATGGGTAATGTAGTTTCCCTGTACACATTTCATTATTAAATATGATTGTCTTTTAAAATAAGATGAATTTATATTAACAGATGGATTTAGCAAAGCATTTACAATTTATTAACAACCTTAGAGCTCACAACAGGTTGTTCTTTAAATATTTATCATTTATTGTTTTTCCTTTTGGAGTGACACAGTGGCTCAGTGGTTATCACTTTCACCTCACAGCAAGAAGGTCGCTAGTTCGAGTCCTGGCTGGGCCAGTTGGCATTTCTGTGTGGAGTTTGCATGTTCTCCCCGTGTTGGCGTGGGTTTCCTTTGTGTGCTCCAGTTCCCCCCACAGTCCAAAGGCATGCGGTATAGGTGAATTGAATAAAATAAATTGGCCTTGGTGTATGTGTGTGAATAAGTGAGTATGGATGTTTCCTAGTACTGGGTTGCAGCTGGAAGGGCATCCACTGTCTAAAACATATGCTGGATAGGTTGGCAGTTCATTCCACTGTGGGGACACTGATGAATAAAGGGACTAAGATGAAGGAAAATGATAGAATGAATGTTTTTATTTTCCAGTAACCACCGAAAAGGGGTGAAAATAGAAAGTTGTCAAGTGATTTTATGAGGTGTTTTGATCTGAGATCTCACCATGTTCCAGGGTCCATTGAGGATCTTTGAAATCTCGGTAATGAGCTGAATGTAGCACTGAAGGGTTTCACTGTTGTAATCAAAACGGCGTCCAAACAGAACCAGACTGATAACATTGGAAGCAACATTGTGGAACATGACCTGAGGATCCACTGTTTTCCCTGTACATATGTGAATTATTTAAAGAAAACATTAAGACATTTTATTCGGTATCTGAAATCTAAAAGTAAATGGTCTCCACCTTGTCCAAGAAGTAGAAATCACATATAAATACCAATGTTTTTGTCAAGGTAACAAACAACGTGTGAAATTTCCCCCAGAATTCTCTCCTCCATGGACTGCTTTCCCAGACCAAAATTTCTCAGGGTCATGAGAGCAAAACGTCGATGATCCTTCCAAAGGGGTCCATAGTCAGCCAACACAACACCTTCAGAAAAATTATAAAAGCAATTGAGATTTGTGGAGATTTTAGCAATATTATGATTAGTTACACATGCAAACACAAAATTGTTTCCTTAACATTCCCATGTGATGTATACAGGGGCAAGCACATGCATACAGGAAAACCAAAGTCGTGGTCAATAAACAGGCGAATGGTCAGTTCTGGCGGTAAGCATCATAAACTAGGAATGGCTAAAATGAAACAGACGTTTCCACACAGTGTCGAGATCTCAAATTGCAAGTGTTTCGAAACACTGCACCAAAGAATGAGCCGAACCACCCAGGTCATGTGACTAAGGTGATTCAAAACACCCAGGTCACATAACTAAAGCTATTCAAAGCATCAGTCATTTCAGAAGCGTTTCGAGACCTGCCGAATTTGCACTTGGAAAAAAACATCTCATGTAGCCTTGTGGACGGTGTGTGGGTGCAGAGTAACTGTGCTGCAAAAGGCCCGAGTTTGAATCCTGACTTGTTCCAATACTTAAAATTGTGACAATGTATTTTATTAGTTACTTTTTTATGATCAAAACAAAATAAATATATTCCCAAAGTGTTTATTCGGACGTCAGACTAATGCTAAAACAAAACAAGTTACAAGAACAGAGTTTTTAAAAACTTACATCTATAGCTGCATCACCCTGGATTCAAACACATTAGCTCTTGAAGCTAGTCAGTAACTCTCACTGCTTCACTAAATCACTTCAAAAGTCAACTTGCTAAACTGTTTCTTCGCTGAAGCTGTTCCAGTGCAATACATAAAGATGACCACAATGCGTCACTGTAGAGACGGGTTTAAAACGTTTCGAAAGCTTCGACACATGTGCTTCAAATGTTTTAGTGTTTCATGAAGCCTCGCTTTGCCCACAACTAACGTAAACAAAGCAACGGTCATGTACAACACTGCAAGTCAAGGCAAGGCTAGGCAAAAGAAATGCGTCATAATGGTAAACAAGTTAAACAAGACTCAGCAACTGGTGTTTGTGTCTGTGCTGCTTTTAAAGTCCATGTAATCAGTTCTGAACAATTTCAGCGGTGTGCGTTAGAAATCAATGGTAAACTGGAACAGGTGTGAGTGTGTGGTGCATGACAGGATTTGTTGTCCATATGGTGAGAGATTTGAAGTCCTGGTAATCCCTAAAAGAAGAACATTCTCCTGACTTAGAGAGAATATTCTATTTACATTTAAGACAACTTTCAGGTTGGCCAACAGATAACATTCTGGGAGTATTTTAGGAACTAAACAAGTTTTTAAAAAGTCAAAAAAGTTAATTGTTGGAGCTTGTGTTCACATACTCCTAAAATTAACTATGCCTTTTCTTTTACTCAATTAAATATTCAAACTACAATAATTAGATAAGGTCCTTGAATTTGACTGGTAATGCAGTAGAATTGTAAGTGTTGATGGGTGGCAGGGGTGGACTGGGACAAAAATTCCTCCCTGGCACTGTATCCACACCAGCCCACATTACCACACAGACACAGCCCCACCCACGGACACGCATATTTACTACTTATATTGGTGTACAGATGGTGAAATAATATAAGTAGTACCATATTTAATAGGTTTTTAAACATTTAATGTTTGTGACTGGAACAAAAACAACCCATTGTCATTCTTTGCACCTCTGCTTAAGGATTAAATTCATACTGTAATCTATGCATGTATTTAATGCTAACTATGTATTCAAATGCCTATAGTACTATAGCTTAACAGGTAGCTATAGGTTTTTTTGCATGTTAGACTATATTGCTAGTACAGTAACATACAACAGTTTGTATACGCTAAATCCCAAGTTATCTGCTGATAATGACCTTTAAAAATGTTCAGGAGTTCTATGCTAAGCTTACAACTGTTAAACAGTGTAGGTTACTGTCAAAAACTGTCAGAAGTTCTGTGAATGATGTCAAAATTTCTTAGTATATTTTAGCATAATGACTTAGAAGTATATTTTCTGTTTTCTTCTTACCTCCCCAACCGCGCTACTGTCCTTCGATGCAGCAGCCAAATTTAAACCAGTCAAGATTATTTCAGTTCATTTTTTGCATTTGGCAGTATCTGATTTTAGAGCCCTTTTTTTCGGTTTCTTGGAGCTTTTCGGTGCTTCCTTTCCCCTTTTTTACGGGCCATCTCTGACAATTAGCTGTTTGTTTGACATTCTTGCCAGATTTTGATTACGTTTGCGTTAAGTTTGATTGGGTCAGCCACCTCTCAAAACCAGCTGGCCGTCACCAATTTGGCCAAATGCTTAACATTTAATTATAATAATGATAATATTAATAATAATAATAATAATAATAATAATAATTATTATTATTATTATTATTATTATTATTATTATTATTATTACTATTATTAGTATCATCATCATACTATTCACATTTTGCAAGAGATAAAAGCTGCCTGCATGTAAAAACAATACATATTAAGAAAAAAAAAAAACTGACCGGTCCACATTTAAAAACTGGTCCGGCCCTTCTGGCATTTGCCAGATAGCTAGTCCGCCTCTGATGGGTGGTGAGGATTTTTCAATAGCTCTAAAGCAATGTTTGTCAACCACGTTCCTGGAGGACCATCAGCTCTGCACATTTTTCATATCTCCTTAACCAAACACACCTGATTCATCAGCATCAGCTCATTAGTCCTCTAGAAACATGGTTGGAAAACACTGCTCTAAACGTTGCAAATTGAATTACACGTTCAGCCTCTGTTATTTTCAACTTCTGTCTTGTAGTTTTTACTCACAGATGTCTGCACTCCTTGGACTAAAAAAAGTAACCCAATGTACATGTCAAAGAAGGCGGGGCTTTAGAGCCACTCTTACTTATTAGATAACTACCACTAACCTAACATTTGGAAGGTGTTTACCAGCCAAAGCAAACTTTTCCGAAGAGTTCAGTTTGCTTTGGCATGCTGTTTTGAACAATGGGGGCACATAGCACAACAAGTTTATTTTGACCTAGTTTGGCCAATTTATAGAATGGACAAGGGAAACTTTTTTTCTTTACACCAGCAGATGGCGACATGTCATGAGTCATTCATTCATAATCATAATTCAAAATGTATTTAGAAATTACATGGTTAATGTAACAGTTAATCCTGCGTCAACCCTAGTGACTGTAAAAACCCCATTTGTTTCTATTTCTAAAATGCAAGTCACCCAAACAACTACTTACTACTTGCTACTTATAAAAGGAATATTACACTCATTAGATTGTGATTTTCCATTTAACTATCTAAGACAGCTTTTTTTAGGAATTACCTTTACACTCTGTGAGATGACTGATCATGAAGTCTTGAGGTCGACCTGAAAAGTCTTGAGCTTTGTTAACCAGAGCTTCCTTAATAACCGCAAAACTGTTCAGAAAAACTGCTGGCCTCGATCCAGTGTACAGGCTGAAAATGTTCCCATATTTTTCTGCAAACTTAAAGTGGAAAATTGGTTTACAATCAAGAAGAAATGTTGGAACTCAAGATAAAAAGAAGAAAGCCATACTCTTTCAAAGTCCTTCAAAGGATTTGCGAGGTTGAAGTGAAGCAGATTTCCAAATATTGGAAGAGGAGAAGGTCCTGGAGGAAAATTTTTTGGCCTCTGGATACGGATGAGGAGGAAGACGAGCAGGATGCATATTAAAACAAGAACCGAGGAACCCAACATGCTTACTAATGTCTAGCTGCGCTCCCTCTGTTTCACTCAAGCAAAGCAAGCTTGTAAACCTATTACCTCCCAGTCTCTTGGTACATTGCTATCTGCTATCTGAACAACATTGGCCATTTTCCAAGAAAGATAAAGCGACTGGAACAAACAATCTACTCAAAAGTTTAAAACTTTTTTTTTCACCTGTATTTTGCTGGTTTGTATAATTAAACACAAATCCATTCAGTATAGAAGAAGCTGTGCCATATGCCATATGTCATAGTCGCTGGTTTGATCCTCGACTCGTTTCTGTGTGGAGTTTGCATGTTCTCCCTGTGTTTGCGTGGGTTTCCTCCGGGTGCTCCGGTTCCCCCCACAGTCCAAAGACATGCAGTACAGGTGAATTGGGTAGGCTAAATTGTCTGTAGTGTATGAATGTGTGTGTGGATGTTTCCCAGAGATGGGTTGCAGCTGTAAGGGCATCCGCTGCATAAAAATGTGCTGGATAAGTTGGTGGTTCATTCCGCTGTGGCAACCCCAGATTAATAATGAATAAAAAATAATGAATGAATGAATTTTTAGGGGTTTTATAGCTAGCAGGTTTTTTAAAACGAAAATAATGTTTATTAATTATTTCTCATTGCATGGTGGCTCAGCAATTAGCACTGTTGGCTCACCATAAAAAAGGTCTCTGGTTTGAGTCCTGGCTCAAGCTGGAGACCTTTCTGTGTGGAGTTTGCATGTTCTCCCCATGTTCGCACGTTAGTCCAAAGACGCAGTACAGGTGAATTGGATAAACCATTGTGAATGAATGTGTTTGCTCATGTCTGTGGGTTGTACGCAGTGTTAGGTTGCAGCAGGAAGGCCATCCGCTGGTAAAACATGTATTTATAGTAACTGGTGGTTCATTCTACTGTGGTGATGCCTTATAAATTGGTGAATAAGCCTAAGCATAGTGTGAAATAAATGCTCAGGAAGGATGAATTAAATGTATCAAAAACAACACTCACTGGCCACTTTATTAAGTTCTTAGCATAATGACACAGCCTACCAGAGTATGTTGCTGACCATGTCCATCCCTTTATGACCACAGTGTACTCATCTTCTGATGGCTACTTCCAGCAGGATAACGCACCATGTCATAAAGCGTGAATCATATCAGACTAGTTTCTTGAACATGAAAATGAGTTCACTGAACTGAAATGGCCTCTACAGTCACCAGATCTCAATTCAATAGAGCACCTTGGGATGTGTTGGAATGGGAGATTTGCATCATGAATGTGCAGTCGACAAATCTGCAGCAACTGCGTGATGCTATCATGTCAATATGGACCAAAATCTCAGAGGAATATTTCCAAATAATCATATTAGAGTTATTTCAGATGGATCATGCAACAATGAAGACTTTATTTTCAGTTTTCTTCAGTTTGTGATAGCACAACAAAACCATACCATGCATGCACACTTATCAGCTAAGCTTTTATTCAAGGCCTTTTTTCATGATACATTACAATTCTTTTTTATAATGTTTTCGACCAGTCATGATGCATACAGTCTCTTTAAAATACTTACATCAAAGCAATTGTGCAACAGAAATTTAACATACAAATCATATTCTGACAGTCTCTCTGCGCTTGATGTGCATTCTGTAGGGCTGGGGTGTGAGGGTGACCCCATAAACAGGGGTATAATCTGGTTTCCCAGCATCATTCGGCCACACAAACTGGAAACGGCGCAACAGAGTGACCATGACAAGGAAAAGCTCCATACGTGCAAGACCCTCACCAAGACACACACGTGGACCTGTTCACCAAAAAAGTTTGTACACAATTAGCAAAATACACTCAAATAACCAAAAACTACACCTGCATCTCTTTCTGATTCTGAATGGTTACCTGCTGAAAAAGGCACAAAGGCTTCAGGCTTCTCAAACTCGCCCTGCTCATTCAGGAAGTTTGCAGGGTTGAACTCATGAGGAAACTTCCACTGACCTTCTTCTTTTAGTGCAGAACCGAGGTTAGGAATCACAAAAGTTCCCTTGAGAAATAAGGGTAAAATTAGGATTTCAAACAAGTTATACTCTTGTTATTGAAAAGTTTCCTCACCTTTGGAATGTTGTAACCCATTAGCTCTGTGTCTTTTGTAGTGCAGTGAAACACACTTAGTGGAACAGTGTTTGCAACGCGCTGAACCTCATGAATCACAGCTTGTGTGTACGGCATACTGTGTCTGTCTTCATATGATGCCTGATCTTTATCCTCCAGAACATCATCAATCTCTTGCTGGCATTTTGCTGTTAAAATGAAAAATGTTTAAGCTAATGCTGTCAATTTTAGTTTCTTCTAATTAGTATTTTCTTGGCTTGCCTTTGTACTTTTTTTCTCCGGTTGTGTATTGGTTGGTTGATTACATCCACCTTAGTCTTGATTAGTTACTCAACATTTTTTGTTTATATGCACTGCATTCATATAGTACACTTTTCCAGTAAAACGGGGTTAATGTAATGGTTTTAATAAAATCCCCATTGGTAAAAGCGGTAAAAATCATGCTTCTTGGATTTGTCCAAGGATTCCCTTTGTTACAGTGCACTTGCCAGCAATGTTTTGTTGCGTTCTTTTGGTTTTGCTTCAATGAGAATCCAACAGAATGACATAGATGCAAAAATAATACTATAACAATAGCCTAACCTGTTTGAACGAAGGGCATAAGCAAGATGACATGTAACCAGTGCTTAATTTGTGAATTGCAAGGACCCGGAACAGATCGGGTTAAGGAATCCATCATGTTAACCGAGGATGGAGGATGGAGTAGTGTCGCGCACAAAAGTGTGGACCAGGGGTGGGGTGGGGTTATTAGTGTGGTGGATGGCAGAGAGGTGTTGTGGACGAAAGTGAGTGGGGTGGGGGTGTTGCGGACGAAAGTGAAATGGGTTGGGGAGTCGCAGAAGAAAGTGAAAGTGAACAGTGGACGGGGGAGAAGGAGGGGAATCTGTAAAATGAGGTGTCAGATCAGATTTCAGAGGTGCCGGATACGGATTCGCATATTCCGGCACAAATTAAGCCCTGCATGTAACTAAACCAGACACAGATGAACATAATCAATGAATCAACGACTAACAATAGAAACAACCTCAAAATGGGAACAATGGAATCAGGAACTTCCATTAATCATTCAATCATTTTCCTTCGGCTTAGTCCCTTATTTATCAGGGATTGCCACACCGGAATGAACAGCATATGTTTTATGCAACCCAGTACTGGGAAACACCCATTTACTCATTCACACACACTACACTACGGCCAATTTAGTTAATTCAATTCGCCTATACTTTATGTCTTTGGACTTTGGGGAAAACAGGCGTAACACAAGGAAACACAACCCATGCAAACACAAGGAAAACATGCAAACTCCACACAGAAATGCCAACTGACCCAGCTGGTACATAAACCAGCAACCTTTTTGCTGTAAGGTGACAGTGCTAAACACTGAGCCACCATGCCACACAAACTTATATTGATACAACCTAAAAGTCCAACAAGCAAGAACCAAACTTGACTCAGCAATGATCAAATTGATTAATATGCAATCAAAACACAGACCTTGAACCTCTGGGTGGGTCATGAGGTAGAGAAAACCTGTGAGGAGGGTGTTGGATGTTGTGTCAGTCCCTGCAAAGTGCAAATCCAGAACGTACAGGATAAGTTGAGCTTCAGAAAAGGAGGAGCCATCATTTCCTCTCTGGTGAAGTTAAAATAACCAAAGATTAGATTCTCATTCAGTTAATAAAATACTGGGGACACACTGATATTCAAATTCTGACCAATACTGATAAAGCAATAAACAATGGTGATACCTGACTGATAAACAGATAATAATGTTTAATAACCATATTGGGGGTTAAGGAAAAATCTGGGTCACACTTTAATTTGATGGTCCATTTGTTGAATTTAGGTTACAATGCATCTACATGCCAATTATTTCTCATTAGATTATAAGTAGGCTATCAGGTTGGGTTTAGGTTTGGCGTTAGGGTTAGTGTAAGTTGACATGTACTTGCAAAGTTTCTTATAGTCAGTTAAATGTCAGTTGAAGGAGCAGTATCAACAGATAATAAGCAGACAGTCTACTAATACTCAAATAGACCATCAAAATAAAGTGTTACCAAAATCCATAATATCTGTAAAAAGCAACATTGTTCCAATATATAGTGCTTTTACAAAAACAATACAATAACAGATGTCCACTCACCTTATCCAGCTCATCCAAATAGCAGTCAATGAAGTCTCTGGGCTCTCCTGGAACCCATGTTTTTTTGTGCTCCTTGACCAGTTGTGTAGACAATTCTCTGGCTTTGCTGGCATTTGCAAAAGCCTTCCTAAAGGGCAGGGGCAGATATCTAAACATGGGAAATGTATCATATATCTGCAATAAAACAGAGACAGTTTGTTATGAATGGTCTGAATGTTTCAAAAACAATTGTTGGTTCTCCAGATGCTGCTAAAACAGCTAGTTATCAGCGAATATATTGAAGTCTACAAGACTCCTGAATGTGTCCTGAGGGATCTAGCTTTAAGACCTTAACAGCAGATCTTTCAAGTCTTGTAGGTTGCAAGACTGAGTTGCAATGGATTGAACATAAGAATCAGATCTCAACAATGCTCGGTTGCATTGAGATCCTCGTAATTTGTAGGTCAGGGCAACACCTTCAATTCTTCATCATGTTCTTCAAATCATTTCTGATCAGTGTCTGCACTGCCAGCCTGATCTCATGAGAAAACAAAACTATTTTACATTTTGTCAGTTTAGTGGCTAAAATGTGCAAATTAATACGAGTTCAATTGTACAAAAATGTACAATTTTAGGCCACCTAATCTTGCTCAACTGCCATTGGGTGATGAGCTAATCATACAAAATTGTACAAGCTAGATTGTATAATTTAATACGAATTAGCCACTAAATCAAAAAGTGATTTTGATTTACGAATTGCCATGAAATTGTGTCTAAAGAGGCCCCTTCCACCAGGGAACCCCACTGTCTTGAGGTGGTGTACATGGTCTGCAAAGCCAGACCCAGGGTTTCCCAGCAGAGCTTTGATCAGAGGATCACATTAGCATCCTTGTGCCATACCTTCCTTGGGTAACTGCTGTAGACATACACAATGGTCCATTAGACTCATCTGACGAGGCAATCTACTTCCTCTTCTACAAGGTCCGGTCGAAATTAACATAAATATGATTCCAAAATTGTGTGACTTGTGCCATAGCATATCATCTGCTTCATGTTAAATTAAATGGTTTGATGAACATGATGAAGAATTAACCCTTCTGACGTGTTCACATCCTCCCCCTTCCTTTAGTGTTCCTGGTCAAATATGACCGGTCCGTTTTAAATGCTCTTATAGTAGCACAAAAATAATTTTTCTCCACCAAACTTTTATTCAACATTTTTTAGCTGTAAGCAATATCTCAAAGTAGTGTTTATCATGAATTTACAGAATTAGACATAAAATAACTGCAATGAAAATAAAAATAGGGGCTTAAATATATTGCAAAATGAACAATAGATGACAGAAATCAAAAAACTTTGTTTCATTACTAATAGACAGCTAATTAAATAACTGTCACAGGGTCTGACTAAAGAAGTTGAAAAATGATTCATCAACCAGCAAAGCACAAACAAAATGCTATCCTTTACTGTGTTCTGAGTGATCGAGTATTCAGTCCTTCAAGTGTACTAATATAGGGAATAGTGACTGAGGGTATATATGGTGAGCATGGACACAGAACTAGCACTAGTTATACTTTGGTCATTTTTGAGGGAGATAATAACGGTCTAATATAATAAAATATTTGTTGCTAAGCTAAGCTGAAAGTGCTCCTGCTACACTCAGAGATTGGCTGAATAGAGAAAGAAAGAAAGAAAGAAAGAAAGAAAGAAAGAAAGAAAGAAAGAAAGAAAGAAAGAAAGAAAGGGAACAAGATTCCTTCTTTGTGCTCTTTACAGAGAGAGAAATAAATAAATAAACAAAAAGAATAAAATACGGAAATTAATTCGTACGATTGTATTCATACAGTTTTGTACAATTTGCTTTCACAATGATGGCTGGGTTTAGGGGTGGGGTTGGGTGCCATGCCTCATTTTGAATATCGTACATTTTTGTACGACTGAACTATGAATTATATATAAACTATATGAATTAGCCACTGACGAAACGTAAAAAAGCTGTTTCCTTGAGAGACCAGGCGAGAGAATCAGCACATAAGCACGTAAAAGAGATATGTACCTGCAAAAGACATTGTTCAGAGTGAGTGAGTGAGCGAGCGAGCGAGCGAGCGAGTGAGTGAGTTGGGGTAGTGTGTGTGGCGATGTTTTCTGTCTGATGGATGGAAGAATATAGTCTGGATACCCGTTCATTTCTTATGGCGGTCACTTTTGACTGGGAACACCACAGGTGTAACAAGGATGATTAAAACAAATTAAAAAAAAATCAATAAAAGAGGTGATCATCACTTTTATATGTTCAAGTGCATAGTGTGGAGGATATTATAAGGCCTTGAGGCAATCAGATGTAAAACACAATATTTATGAGTGATTTAATTTGTAAATCGGTCAGATTTGACCCGAACACGACAGGAAGGTTAAAGGTATTGCCCTGACCTACAAATTCTGCAGATCTCAATCCAACTAAACCTTGTTGGGATCTGATTAATTTGTTCTATCCATTGCAGCTCAGTCTTGCAACCTACAGGACTTGATTAATCTGTTGTTACTTTCTTGGTGCCAGATCCCTCAAGACACATTCAGGTCTCTTGTAGACTCAATAACATGTTGTTGGGTTGTAGTTTGCCAATCCTTGACCAATATTTGTGAATTTTCACCACTACAGACTGGGAGCAAATCACAAGCCTTGGCATTTTTGACATACTCTGATCCAGTCTCTTACCTTAACAGTTTGGTCTTTGTTAAAGTTTGGTCTTACTTTGGTTACTCTCCTGCATTGTACGTTTCAATTACAAGAACTGATCATAATTTTCTGAACTTTGAATGAGTGGCTGTCTATAGAGGATCTGGGAGCTCTTGGATTTAAGGACTTGATGCTTTGGAACAACATAAAGGTCAGTAATTATTAATCTTTTATGGGGGTGGGGATGGATGCAACACCATTGCATTCTTTGTGTACTTGATTACATTAACTGATGAACTGATAAATGTCTCACCATGGCCCATGGTCCATTAGCAATCTTTGCATTCTCTGTGTAGAGGTGAATGAAAAGCTTGAGAAATTCATCGTCGTAATCATACCGGGATCCAAACAGAACAATGCAGATAATATTTGATGCAGCATTGTGGAACATAGTTTGAGGATCAAAAGCGGTTCCTGCATAGACACAGTTTACATTGACCTTAAAGTAATGTCAGGCTAAAATTCAAAAAATATTACAAAATGAACACATTATTACCAACTCTCTTTTCCAATTTATCAATAATGTGTGAAACCTCTCCCAGAATTCTCTCCTCCATGGATTGCTTTCCAAGGCCAAAGTTTCTTAGGGTCATCAGAGCAAAGCGTCTATGTTCTTTCCAACTAGGTCCATAGTCAGACAGAATGACACCTGTGATATTATATAAGTCATTTATGGGTCTGATTAGTACTAAGCTGTAATGTTAGATAAGACTCAAATTGCTCTTTGAGCTCTATGTAAAGAAGACACCAGCAATCTCAAAAGGATATTGATTAACTAGAGCCTGTGTAGAGGTATAAGAGTAAAGGTTCATTTTTAAATAGACTCACCGCCTCCTTTTGTAACACGGTTGACCATGAGGTCCTGCGGGCGTCCTGCAAAGTCCACAGCCTTAGTAACCAGAGCTTCCTTCAAAGCCTCAAAACCATTCAGAACCACCCATGGTTTTGATCCGAAGTACAGACTGTAAATATTTCCATAGCGATTGGCGAGCTAAAAAGTTTAGCATTAAGACATCAGTCAGGCTGAAATGTACAGTAATAATATTATAAAACTGTCAGCTCTTGAAAGCAATGCTAGATTTAATGAGTGTGTGTTTTTTTCTCCAGATTTAACTAACAATAGGCTAAATAAAGAATGTCTTACGGTACCCTCTCAAAGTCTTTCAAAGGATTGTTGATATTGAGCTCCAGCAAATTCCCAAATAATGGCAGAGGACGAGGTCCTGGAGGAAAGTTCTTAGGCCTCGGGATCTGGATGAAGAGGAAGAGGAGGACGATGCATATCCACACCAGTATCAAAAAGCCCAGCATGCTGACTGCTGTCCGGCTGTTAACTGTGCTTGGTTTACACACAAACTCAGACACTAAAGCACCGATCCCTCCCACTAAATTGCTGAACACTCAGATGGCGCACCTTGCCTGACAGCTCAAAATAAATATATTAAGTAGTAATGACCAATCCTACACAGTTACAGTGTAGTTATGTCATTTGCATGGTCAAGATGAGGGTTTGTACAAATGTGTATGTGCCTATACTTATTTTAGATGTTTAAATATCTATCGGTTTATCCATCTGTCAGTCTCAATGTTTCTCTTTCTCTCTCTCTTTGTCCATCCATCAGTGCATCTATTTCTGATCTATGTCAGTCATTCTTTCAGTAAATCTGCTTGTCTGTGGATCCATCCATTCATCTGTCCGTCTATCTATCTATATCTGTCAGTCTCATTGCTTCTCTTTCTCTCTCTCTTTGTCCATCCATCAGTTTATCTATCTATCTATCTATCTATCTATCTATCTATCTATCTATCTATCTATCTATCTATCTATCTATCTATCTATCTATCTATCTATCTATCATCTATCTATCTATCTATCTATCTATCTATCTATCTATCTATCTATCTATCTATCTATCTATCTATCTATCTATCTGTCTTTGCATTCAACTGTCTGTCTATCTATCTATCTAT